TTCATATTATGGTTAGACTATTCTACAAGCAATGGTATTATTATAGGTGTCATGTTACTCACTTATTGTATTATGTATATTTTATTATCATTATATTTTATTGTAGATTTGTAAATATTTAGTAAGACACCAGAGCGAGAAATCAAAACAATAAAAAGAGAGAAATTATATTATTGTGCGGTCTGGCCTCGGCATTGTTATGGAGGGTGTAATGTATCCGTGAGCGCGGGAATCTCGTTAAATAACTATACGTTTACAACCTCGGTTTTCTACCCGTTTTAAATCACGGAATTTCGGCCACCACTCCTTCGGACCACACCAAACGTATATGTATAAAATATAGTGTTGTATTGGTGCTTGTGCACCTGACACTGTGCGGTGTGTCGCACAATAATAATAATAATATAATCGAAAACAAACTATACGCACACACACATACGTCATACATACACACTACACATAATATACACATATACGAGCATATGAAATACCTGAACTCGGGGACAAAAGGGGACGAAAATTATGTGAATAATATTCTATTCACACGACGCGCCGGAGAGTACAATATAAGCGATTGTTGTTAAGAGAAGGCGCCAACAGCGGCGGCGGCGGACGAGAAGGATGAAGAGGAGGAGGAGGAAAGTACTACTCAAGTCTATAATATAGTACCTATATTATACGGTTGCGACGGTAGCGTTTCAAAATCGGTACATAAATGTAATAGTAATAAATGTATAGGACTGCATTATATATTTTCACTATATAATAAGATGTTCGAAAAGTCAATGTTTAAAACGATATATGCTTTTGATTTTATATTATCATATAGCAATAAGTCACAGAAATGTGTTCATCTATTATCATTTACTTGACTGCATACCTATCAGTAATCATAATTTTCTAAAAATAGTATACAAATTATAGAATTATGCAGAAACAAAAGTAATATGGTATACTGTAATAATTGGATAACTGCACAATACCTATATACCTTATAGCCTTTGACATTTCAATTCATCTTTTTCATTTCTACTGAATGGCAGTCTTTATTAAAATCTTTTTTTTTATTACCTAGAAGGTGTTCGCTAAATTTGCACTTACGTAGTGGAGTTGCCATAAAAAGACCAATACGACCTTACATTTGAAAAATGCTGAATTGCGCTCTAAAATAATACGTGTTTTTAATCGCACTTTCTTGAAACATAATATTTCGAACAGTTTACTTAGCAGTTAGCATACTGTATACAGTACAATCAGCCTGTAGTAATATGCAAATGCCTACATAATTCTGAACCAGTGAGACCAAATGGTGATAATAATAAAATGTACGTGATATTATACGTCTATATTTTATATAATATGTATATGGGTTCGCAAGTTGTGATTTTCATATAGTGACTTGGTGGTAGAGAGATTGAGAGAGAGAAATTATAATATTTTAAATGCCGCACAAGGATGTAATGGTTTACCGAGTTGGACTTTTATACATTTATATACAGACACGGTCGTATCGCAGAGGTCGGTCGGTATTTATCTACATATACGTACGTTCGTATGTATGTATGTATGTATGTATGTATGTATGTATGTATAGTGAATTGTATATTATATAGTTGTGGTGGCGGCGACGAACTATCGGACGAGACGGTAAGGGAGCGCGGAGCTCGGCGGGGAGGGTCAGTGGATGTGGCCAGTGTATCGGATTGTTGTGGGAACGCATTCCACTAGGTGGCAGAGCGACGAGTATGCAGGTGCACGGCCGCCACTCTGTCGCCACTCACACACATACACACACACACACTCACACAAATACATATTATACACGACACATTGGCTCGCTGCTCCCGCCACCGCCTTAGAACAATCCGTTTACGTAACGCGACTATTGTGCCAGTATACAGGGTGATGAACGGATTCCGATTGCAATAAAATCAAACACCGGCAGCATCGCGATAGGTGGTACCACTACGGTTGAGACAATAATATAATATAATATTGTAGTCGCTAAGGTTTCGATATGACATTCGGCCGACTATCCTACTATTTATACTGGGCTGACGCAAGTAAGTATATAATATGTAGGTACAAGTTTTGACGACATGACAGCGTATTTGATATAATAAAATAATATTAATCGCGAGTATCTATTGCTGTAGACATTAGTATAGGTCCCATCAGCGGGGGTGGGCTGGACACACACACGGGCTGTATCAAGGGTAAATCTAGATGGGTGGCAGTTGTAGGCGCGCACTCGGGATTTTTATTCAGGGGGAGGGGGGCATACAAATTCTCCTACACCCCCTTAAAAACAAACACACGATCGCCAATATTTCAACGTTTCCATTTTACGAGTGACACCGACGGTGGACATATAGTAATAATAATATTTTTTTTAATAATATTGTCGTTATCGATCAAATAGGCGACGACCGCCCGACCTAACCGCGACGCCTGTATATAAATCTAAAAATAATTTTCAATAATGAAACCGGCGTTGCCACAAACTTTATCATGTACAACTTGTATCTACTTTATATCTGTATCTTATATAATATCATATTCATATTCGTAAAAAACATCATCATATTATTACATAATATTTTAGTCACAAAACAATAAAATATTATACTGTACCTAATAATTTATAATCTAATACAAAATATAGTTTTGGTTGTGGCTGGCCACGCATGTGATATAAAAATCATCTCTTTACCTGTTTATAATAATTAGTTTACAAATCACAGTCGATTGAAATATTTAGGGAACATAATATTACATTTTAATCATGAGCCTCGAAATACCTATTTGGAACACGCATTCCTACAGCGTGACCCTTGTTAACTTTAGTGTATTTTCAATTTTAGAACTGCATTTTTGAACATTGGAAATGTATAAAACTATTAAAACTTAAAAATTAATTAAGAAGACGTATTTGGTATAACTTCTCATACATTTTTACTATTATAATAAGAGAAGATATAATTAATTCAATAAACAAATTGTATTGATCACATTATAATATACAAATAAATAATAATGAATGTTTGTTATGATATTATTGTATAGTTTTTTTTTTTACTTTATTATTATAGGTGATCACTGATCAACATAATTGGCAACATAATATGTATCACCCTCAAAATGGAAATATGAGGAGCAGCCCGGTGGGCATTTTCTCGCCTGCCCAGACCTTCAATGGTAATCAGATACGTTCGGCGGGGGGCGGGGTATATTATTTGGAATATAATGTTAGGTATATAATGATACTGATGTTTATTTTTCGTATTTATTTGTTCCTCCTACCCGAAGACAGTTGACTATTAGTTTGATACTGCACATTACAAATTTTCGTTTGAAAGTATAGTTAGTAGTAAATTTGGACTTCCAGCCACCCACTCGCCACGTCGCACCCACTATAACTAGGTACAAACTTGCCAAAGGTTGGATTAGGTTTATTACTGCATGAATTTATTTCCATAATATTCTCGTATATTCAAATTCAATTAATTTAGCAATACCACGTCAGAGCTGTCCTTTAGAACAGGAAATCCAGTTTCCTTGCGATTCCATAAATATTATGCATGACATGACAGTATACTATAATACCTATACATTATACGTTATATGACTCATAATGGTATTATATTGTGTTAGTCGTTAGACAATTTTTTTAACTTTCGAGTTACGAGACGCACAAGTTTTGCTCGTTATGGTTGTACACTTATACATCCGCACTCGCTTCCAAGTTCCAGTATACAACTCATCCATAAGGTACCTACACAGGTATACAATAAGTCCAGTGCACGCACAAGTTACTCGTATTATAATTTATTAATACAAATGAGGCTGTGAAAGCCGATTTCTATAGAATTAATTTCAAAACTAACTCTTTAATCGTTAAATTAACACACCTAAGTATATTGTACATAAGTAAATATTATAGTAGAATTAAACGCAGCTAGTGCTCCTGCAGCAGCTGTGTATCAGCTCTATCAACCATGTCTCCTCTGCTCTATATTCTATACTATGTACATTGCACATGATACATATTATCGTACATAGCCATCCATATAGGTACGACTGTGTGCACGCAGCCTCGTATTTATTTATATATATAAATTGGTAGGTAACTCGGTAATGTACTATCCACACCATACACTATCATACACCGTGGTCGCGGTCACCGCTCATTAAACCCGTGGGGCCATAACAAATCGTCATAACGCGTGTCCATTGATTTCCATTGTATTAGGTACGTTGCATCTTGCATTATACTATTTTATACTTTTATAATATTATCGTTTCGGGCTGTCTTAGTGACAACAATACAATAATATATAGCGTAAAAAAGCTACTCCGATTTCAGAGTCACCGAATATGCGTGCACGTCAGCATGGAAAAAAAATATATATAGAAATATTAGATGAAAGGATACGACGTATATAATATAATAGCTTCTATGAAAAGGAAAACAATAGCACTAATCGTACTACAATATAATACTATTATTCGATACAATATAAACGTTTAGACTGGTCCAGCGAAAAAGCACGTAAAACGTACAGGTATGCAATGCAAGGCCATAGATATGAGAACACCGTATGAGGACGGAAGAGGGTTGATATTTATTTTCGGGCAGGAGAATATTTTTTTGATTACTATAATACACCATTATAAATATTATATCAGGTGATCGTATTTTTAATTTTAATATCACAGATTCAATGCAATGGGCAGTGTCCATTTAGTAATACATTATTAATTAGACAGCGGTTACGGTCGTCAAACAGTCGCTTTTTTGTTGAAATTAAACGTTGCACACCCTCCCACCCATCGATCGATTTAATTGATGCTACCGAAACCGATTGCTTGGTCGGTGGTGTTTTTTTGAATAGATTCAAGATTTTAATAACATCATATAGCTTAATAATATAATAATATGTAATATCATATTATTACAATGATCGTAAAACAAAATAATACAATAGGTATAATGGTATATGCTGCATAGGTGAATGCATATTATACATTTTTAATGTTTTGACGAGAGTCAAGAAGTATAAAAAGGATATCAGATTTAAAAGTGACACCAAGCGGGACTATATACTCGTATAATCAGGAAGTACATTTAATTCATTATTATTTATAGATAACATACGGCACGAAGTGATTTTTCGTACAATATAATTTTCTAACGACATCATTGGAATGGATGATTTAGGTTTAACAACAAATGATCACCTCTTGTTTTTCTCCACGACGTAACACCGCATATATATTATACCTATATTGTAATATTATGTATATATATTACACTTATGGGTTTAGTTTCGTCTTCGTGGCGGCGAGATTTGTGCGACCTCACGATTTCGCATTCCAACGCATACTGCGATGTGCCTGAGCCATACAAGGTGTCTCGCAAGGGTAAGTCAAACAATTTTTCCAAACGCATTTCTTCATATTTTGTTTAATCTGATTTTGAACGTGTCTGCTTATTAAAGAATTATTGGATATTTATCCTACTCAGGTTCGACGTGAAGGAAATAAGATCGATTAAAAATCGAGTAAGGAAATGAGTCGCAATTGTAGTTAAAAATACGATGATCACCCTGTATATAATATATCGTGCGAGCCCGACTGTATATGTAATCTTCTAACCTGCGGCCGTATTGAACACAATAACGTTTGAACGACCGATTGAAATTGAAAACGTTACAAAGTATACTTTGGTGTGATGGAGGTGGAAAGTATAAAAACTCCTGCTAAGCATTTTATTGTAATCTATAATGAAATAGAGATTTTCTGTTTTTTTTTTTTTTTAATAACACAAATATTAAAATGGACTGTTGAAAATTCGAAATGATTACTACAAAGCAAGCATTATATATTTTGTACAATATTCTACAGTAGTGACAAATGACAATACAAACAAAAACTTCTCACTTACATAAATATTGGGACCGTGTCATATATTGGTAGATATAGTAGGTACTAATATTATTATGATAAATTATAAACACAAGTGTTATCTATAAAGAACACGGTACGACACGGCGAGTTGTGAACGTATCATTTTCTCTCAATAAAAAATGTGTATTGTAAACTGTTAAAGTTGGAACTTAAATACATATTATATTATTTTGATTTTTGAAAATTGTCAAATAGTAAATATTTTTTGACAGAAAACAGGACGTAGTACGAATGGGTGTAGTATTTTAAATTGATGTCTTATTAGTTATTACATAATAATATTAATACTTTTAAGGGGGGCTACACTTATAAATGTATAATATATAGTCCGACGAATTTTACCACGTTTTTGTTTACGAATAGGTACGTGGGGGTCTATTACCGATAAACTAACGACTAACCCACGTATAGACCTCAAGGAAGTTACAAATTGTATCCAATAATTTAAAAACTATTTCAACTCACTCCCACGCTAAACACGTCGTTATATATTTTCCGGCCTAAACCGAAAACTGTTACGTTTGGTCACATTAAATTATTCTAACAAGAAAAATAAATAAACATTTTTCATTTTAAGTATACACAAAAAAATTAAAAAAACGTGTAAAATTGTGTTACATATTATTAAAAAAGAAGATAGCAGGCTTACAATAGAGTTAGGAGTGTGGTGGAAATTATTATTAATAATGCTGATCGGGAAGCTTGTATGGAAAAACTGAAATGTAAATTACCTAACGATAGAATCAACAGTTAAATAGTGCGAAAGTTATTGTTTTTCTACGACATTTTTCAATATTATTGAAGTACTTTCAATATAACCAATACACGGTCAATAATTTCGTCAATATCGAATAGCCGCTTTAGGCTACATTATTATGTTCGATTTCAAACGTTGTGCGACCTGCGACCTGCAGCGTGATGCACTGATATCACCTCAAGTGGCCGTTAGAGTGGACCAACGATGGATCGCAAGACGCGGAAACCCGAAACGGAGCACGACCCGGAAGCGTATTTACGGATGCTACTCGAGACTGGCCAATAGATCCCAAATTCAGTTAGGGTTCGTAAAACAAATTTATTTTACGGATACTACTCGAGTCTGGCCACTATGTAATATACCGCTATACTCAAATAAAGACTCATAAAGTTCAATATGAAAGCTGGGCTATCTCCCCGCAATATGCGGTCTACCTCCGTTTTGTGTGCTACGTAACTATAAACATGAGCATAGTATGCGGTCTATCAATGTTATGTGTTCTACCTATATAGCTGGGAACAAAAATGCAATTTTCTCAACCCTGTGACCCACTTGGGGAGGTGTTGCACACTGCAACGCAAGTCGGGGGATATTTTCGATTTGCGGAGCGGAGCGACGGCGCCGAGGAGCGTAGCGACGAGTGCCGCTAGCACTGCATCACTGTACGATGTTTTTTCAATCAATTGCATTTTTGTTGCACCGAGCCACCAATTTGAAAAAACATCGTACAGTGATGCGGTGCTAGCGGCACTCGTCGCTACGCTCCTCGGCGCCGTCGCTCCGCTCCGCAAATCGAAAATATCCCCCGACTTGCTGTGCAACACCTCCCCAAGTGGGTCACAGGGTAATAAAAAATAAATTAAATTTTTTTTATACTTTAAATTATACATTATTATACTTTTAAATTTTAATATTATTGAACTTTAATATTATTACGGTAGACCACGTCCATTTTGGTAGACCGCAGTGGCATAATGGCCAGACTCGTGTAGTATCCGTAAAATAAATTTGTTTTACGAACCCTAACTGAATTTGGGATGTATTGGCCAGTCTCGAGTAGCATCCGTAAATACGCGACCCGGAAAACCGCGGAACGGAGCAAAGCGACGCTCGTTTGCAACGCGATGGCCACGAACGACGCCGCTTGTTCCACCGGAAGCCCTTATTCGGCCCCCTATATGTTTGTTTCGATGATTTCGTACCACCGTCCACGCCGTGAGCAACGACGCCGCATCGTTTGAAATAGTTTTTACGTTTACGAGAATCCGCCGCGGCCACGTTTCTGGCCATCGGTGATGGTATATGACGAGACGTAATTTCAGGACGACAGAGCACAGTGCCACAAACATTTGAAATCTGAAAATAAACTATTGAATATTGACACTAACCACTAACAGTTTGTTAAGAGATAACAGTCTACCACTCAATAATACGGTCAGGTTTGTATTGTTATAATATTAAAGAATACACTATCCCCCGAGTAGGAAATTTTCCACATGGAAAAATACTAAATTTAATATTTTTATGGATAAGCTATCTACTATAAAAAATCTATGCTTACCCTTTATCCAATCTAACTGTTTTAGGTTAAGGCTATTCTTAATGTGAGGTATATATACACGCGCTCCACATTCCAAATCCCGGCTTTAGGTTAGGCTAAGGTTTGTCTGATTTTGTCTTTTACCCATATGTAATATATATAATATATATATATTTTTTATTTATTCTGTTTAATACATTTTATTTTAATTTGGTTTCTCCTTTATTACCTATATATTGATAAAGAATATCTCGTTTGTAATACTATAATAGGCTAATTGAATTCGTTCCAATGAAATTCCCATTTGTTAAAATGTTTTATTTTTCTTTATAAATATCACTTAGCTTAAAACTTTAGTATTGTAGGTATACTTATATCCAAAACCTATATTATATCCCCCAACAAAATCATTATGCTAAAGGGGAGATTCAAACATATTATAACTGTTATTATTTATACCTAGTTATATTATTTGTTCAGCTAAATCAATTTTATATTATTTATTTATTATTTAATAGTCTATGCGTCATTATTATTATTATTTTTTTATTGTTCTTAATTAACATCAGCTACAATGGCCATTAGTTACAATTTACAATTACAATTTTTTTTTAATTTTATTATATACAGTTAAGTTTTGTGTAAGAATTTAAGGATTTGTGTGGTGGAGTCTGCATCTGGTCCGAGTGCTGGGTCTGTAATTATTATTGACTGTTAGTATATTGCAATAATAGATGTTCATCTTCACAATGCTTTAAGGACTACCTAATTTTATTATATTGTTAGTCACCGGAACAAATTTAACCTTAAACCTAAAATCTAATAAATTCATCTGGTCATAGGTTTATAAAATATAATATGAAGAATATGAAGAATAAGTATCTCATGGAATTATTGAACTATTCCAAGTACTAAATGCAGATAATAGATAAACGATGATATGTAGGTAAAAATAATTTTCAATATAGATCTCTCAATGCTCTCCAACTAAATACAATTTCGTATCAGAAATCACCCTTGTTCCTTAGAATTGAATATTGAATCATTTTTTTACTATAAAACTTGTACGCATACACAAGAAAACACAAGTTATTGTAAAGGCAATACATCCATTTTTTTACTCAGAATCTAAAAGACTTAACCCGGAAGTATAAAATTAGCACTGCAGGTCTGCAGTGAATAATACTAATCGAAACACAAATCCTAGTTCAAATATTATAGTTTAATATACCTATTATAACTACGCGTATATATCATTGATAATGGTCTTGGAAAAATAAAAGGGCCCGAAATCCTAACGATTGTTGATTAGAACAAACGACTTCGCAATGGCCATGTACTCGCGTCGTTGTGTACGCGTTGTCTGGGAAATGTTTGAATTTTTCTAGCAAACTTATTTTGAATTGAACTTTGAGTTTATTTGCAATCAAACGTCAGACCTGAAACAACCAAAAGCAAAATGGCCACTAGTGACTTTGCTCGAGAAATCACCATGATAAATGTAGTTGAACTCGTTGACACATGGGTAATGCCAATGGAAGACGAAGAACCACTAACTCTAGAAATTAAATACTAAGAACAAAAACTAGATGACGACGAAGACGAAGATATGTCTAAGAGATTGTCTTCGTCTTCGTCGTCATATAGTTTTTGTTCTAAGTATTTAATTTTTAGAGTTTGTGGTTCTCCGTCTTCCATTGGCATTACCCATTATATAATTAGGCGACATAACTTGGTTGTTTGTTGAACATGATACTGTCGAATGCAAGATCGAGGTAGGCAGCGGAGACGATGCCTCCGTAGTCCCGGCGCCCTCCGAGACGCTCGGACCAGCCGAGCACGGCCACGGACTACTGCAGGCCGAAGACCAAGTGCAAGTACAACATCAAAAGGCAGACACCATTCCGTCTGTGGGAGTCGAAGAAAGGGACACGACTATGCTGGACGGAAAAAACTCGCCGGACACAACCATCAGTGGAGTACTGAGCAAAAATCCACGTGGTAGGACAAGGCGGTTATTCGCCGCCACGTGGAAGGGCGCCAAGCGCCTGCTGCTCTGTGGTTGTTTCCGTAGGACGTGAAGTCAGCGGCGTAGTAAACCCCCTTCCCCCAGTTCAAGACACCAAGACAAGACGGCGGTGACGGAGGAGAGGTACGTGAAAGAGCTGCATTTTACGGTGCCCGGCGGTAAGTCACCCTATACGTTTTCCGGCCACCCGCAGGAAGACGAGATGGCAGTCGTCAGCGTCGCGAGCTCGAGGTTGCCGACACGCGAGACCATCAAGTCGACTCGGCTGCTTCGGTCACACCAGGAGCCGATGGACGACGACGACGACGGCGGTGGCTAGCTGTACCGGCGCGGGCAACGATACCCACGGGCGACGGTACCACGCGACAGTGGCAGAGTGCACGAAGGCGACTCGCAAAGGCGGCAGACTGCAAAAGACAACGGGGCTGACCTAGGAACATGGAAGTCAGCATCGCCGGACTCGTGGAAACGGATAGCGTTTCAGGGTACGACGATGCGCGACTCCAGGAGGACGGCCACCGGACGGTGACTAGGTCGAAACAGGGCGAAAATCACGTGCAGAGGATCAGGACCTTTGCGGCGTGTTTTGCTGTGAGGTCCGACGATCCTCTCCCGTTTTCGCTCAGTGGCAATCGGTCGGGTCACGCCTCCGGTCGCCGGCCGATTCCGTAGCACCGACAGCTGCCTCTGCTCCCTCAGTGTTTTAGGTCGCAGTCGCCACGCATCAGTCGTCTTCAGTACCTGCGCATCGTCGATGCGCACAACATCGCGCACTAGCCGCTCGCCGTCAAATCGCCTTATCGCTCCAGCCTTACTTCGCCAGCCGTCGTGATGGTCGTCACCTGCGACTGCACTGTCTGCACTTATCCGCCTTCGGGATGTGCCGTTAAAAAGTATAGAGGTCACCAGTAACCAGCTTATTGCTCTATGCACCTCGCCATCACATTCCACTCTCCCTGCAAATTGTGTCTTTTTTTCCCATTAGGCCACTTTGAGCCGATTATAAATAAAATTATATAAAATTATAAAAAAAATTATTAGATATATAAAAAAAAAAAAAAAAGATAGACAAAAAAATAAAAAAAAATTATAGGTACTTTTGATTGATGTACTTAAACTGTAATAAATATTATTGTAAAATTACATTTATTTTGTTGAGTAGGTACACAATAAAATTATCTATACAAAAATAAAATATTGTTTCTTTTTTTAAGTATTAGAGTGTATTTGTATATTTATATTTATTTCAACAGAATAATTGGCTCCACTGAACATGTCCCTGTGAGGGCCCATGCAAAGTAATAACCACCTACTATAGCAATGTTTTTGTCACGTATCAAATCTATCAATAAAATATTATAATAATGATAGGTATTTTTGGTCAGGTAAATGTAATATAATAATTAATAGATAACCATAGATAACTTGGGACTTTTACGTATATTATACATTTTACTGTACGCAATGGCATTTTAAAAATTGTAATACTTTTTACTCTTGACCCCACAAAATAGGTAATACAAATAGTTCCTTATCAAGTATCAGAAAAGATGCTGATGTAAAATATCAAATCATTTTTTAATAATTGTTCAACCCAATTTATATATCGCCCATGTACACTGCAGTATACACGTGCTGTATCAAGTTATATAATACTTATATTGCAATTTATTCATTTTGGTTTTTTCAGTGTTTATGAACGGATTTTCTCAGCAATCGTCTACAGCGTGCGTATACGCATATTAAATTCAATATAATTGTATAGATATCATATAAACATTAACTGTATATTATAATACTCGACGGGGACCCACGACTG